AGGAAAATTGAATATACTTTGCTACCATTGTGTTGAGGTTGTTGATATGTTTTGATCTTCTTTGCAGGATGCTGGCATGTACACCCTTCACAGTAGTGTCCTATTTTTTCATGTGGTACCTGCCTCCTTTTGTAGCAGGAAGAGTTGCATGGTACCTGATTTTCTATTGCCTTTTCCAAGCACTGACCACAGTAAGTAAATTACAGCCCATGATGCTCTCAGCAGTAACATACTTTTGCTTTCTGTCTATATTATTGCATTCTGATTTACTAAATTGAGGTTTGTCAGTGCTCACTTTTGTATTTCAACTTCCAGTGAGTTTTAAAGGAAAGGCAGATGTCCCTTTGTCAAACTGTCTGCTAGCTGACAGTTTCTGCCCACAGCTTCTGCCTGATGACCTGCTAATTCAGCCAGATTGCCTCCAGTCACTTTCATTGGCAGTTGAGGCTAAGGCTGGTGACTTAAGAGCATCTGAAAAGCATGCACAAGAAAGGGTAGCGTATTTCACCTGAAGGCCAGTTGCACACATTTGGGGATAGATAGTGTCCTAAACCATGTCCTAAACCATTTCAGCCTTTCGCAAAACTAATGTGCTGCTCTAGGTAGTCAGCTCACTCTTGAATAGATCAGCAGAGACATTCAAATTCCTAGGTGTCACTTAGACACCTAACTTCTCTTAACTTTTATTTTCAGGGGTGGTTTAGAAGACCAAATAGGTCTGTGGCTCTTGTTCTGGTGTTTTGACTTTAGGGGAAGGGCAATGAAAAGTAAGAGTCCCAGATCTGAAACTGCATTTATGGAAGGGTTGTGTTGCCCCATTTTGCCTTGTAGCCAAAATCAAGGTGAAGCAAGGTATCTTCACTGCAAAGCAGTATTATACAGAGGTCTAGAACTAGAAGTGAGGCCTCCGGATTGCAGCGTGACAGAGTGTATCCCAGCCGACTGAATTTCACTGGATTGCATGTTGAAAAAACATTTCCCAGCCATTTAAAATATTTATATATCTTGTTTGACTTTAGCATTTCTCCTGTTTGCAGGTGTTTTGAACCTGGGAATTCTGTATTCCTGTGTCCAGCTGGAAGGTTTCCCTAGATCCTTTGTTTCCTCTGGAGAAAGATGGTCCAGAACACATTCATAATGGCTTAAAATTATTTTCTTCCCTCTCTCATTTGAAGGGAAAATGCAGGCTTTCCATGACAGAGCTTTGAAAAAGTACACATTCTTCATGTTTAACAGAGTTGAACAGAAACGCGTTTTGTATGAACAGAGTAGGATGTGGCTGGCCAGGCTTAGTTTGCTTGGGTACTGACCTCTCTGGTGGTGGAAACAATGTCTGCATGTTTCAGTTGTTCAAGTGGGCTTATGTACCACTTTACAGTAGTCTGTGAACCACAGTTTGGGAATTCTCAGGCTATGGTTTGACTCTCTGATTGTTTTCCCACATGGTCATATAAGCTGATCCTCCTTGCTAAAGAACGGTATTCAGAGTAGAAAGATCGGTTTATTTCTTACAACAATGCGGATGACTAGTTTTGAGTCTGGGCAGTTAATTAATTTCATTTATTTGTGCATCTTTTTTGCATCTTTTATATAATAGGCTCCTCACTTATCTACCTTACAGAGAGGATGATGATCTGTATGTATTTATATGGTGATAAAATTCCTTTAAGTATATCTGAGAGGATGTAGAGTAAGTCAGTTTATTAAAGGTGTTGCCATTGAAATGAATGGAGGCACAGGATGAGATGGGACAAAAGCAAATGCTGATTCTGGAAGTTCGACCTGTATGTCGCTCCAAGATTTTAGAAATTATTTTTATTTTAGTTCAACACTATGAGGAAAAGGTCTCACTCGTGTCATTACTGTTCAAAAGCTGAGGCGTTTAACATTCAATAGTTATTGTTCAGTAAAGTACTATTGGAGGGAAGGTCTCTCTTCCTGTAAAAGTGGGGCTCATCTACCAGCATTGCAGTAAATGTTACCAGTGCCTATTTCTACCAAGATTTTACAAGAAGGTAAAGACTACGTGCTAGATATAGTGCTGTAAAAAAACAAACAAGCAACACACCCATCCCTGCTACTGTTTTGTCAGGGACTAGACATAGTAATCTGTGTTTCTACCTATCCTTAACTCAAATTAAAGAGTGCATGGCAAAATGGTGCTGAAGACAAAGCAGTTTGTAGTTTTCATAATTATCTCTTTGAATTATATAGTGAGACATCCATTGAGAGTGTCTGGGGGATTTATGCAGTTTTCTGGTTTCAATAAAGTGGTAAATTCTGTTGTCTTCACTAGGGCTTTGCTTCCTCTTAGCTCAAGCTAGGAACATGAGAGTCTCCTAGTGCAAAGAAAGCTAGATGGTTTATAGCCTAGCTGCAAGGACTTTTTCCCAAGGAAGCTGGAGGAGCACAGCATTAAGGTAAATCCTGTTGCTGAGTTGTTATTTATTATTTATATTATGAAGGAGGCTTTTTTCCTCTTATGCTACATACTTTACAAACCAGAGTGGAAAGGCAGGCCTTTGTGCTTAAAGATACCATGTTCTAAATGAGTGAATTGCAATGCTGAACTGCACCTTTTCCTTTTCCTGGTTATCAAAGGAATACAACATCCACCTTGATATGTTTTCCTAAGTGATGTTCTTTCTTTGTGTAGTTGTTCCAGGTACCATATTCTGCTCTCACCATGTTTCTCAGCACAGACCAGAAGGAGAGAGATTCTGCAACAGCATACCGTGAGTATGATCTGGGCTTTCTCATGTGGATTGGGGATGAATTTTGTTTAAAATCATTCTCTCTATATAGGAAGTTTCTGATGTTCTGTGACCCTAAAACTGGACTTCTACGTGATAATTTTTAATATCTGATGACAAGTATTTTGTCTTGTAAATGTTTCCATTTTTCCAGTTAAGTAACTGATATTAATGATTTGTCATCCCAAATCATCTGATTAGCTATTAACTCCTCTCAGTTCCTTGCTAGCCACAAGAAACAACAAAAATAAAACACTCTCACCCAAAGCCAGGACTGGGAATAGTTATTTCATTTGTAGGTGATTTGTGGGGGAAAAGGAAACCATAGTGCTGATCTCCTTTTATATTGTATGTTTTAAGTATTTTCTTTCTATTTAGCTTGAATTTCTTTGGGTGTATGTGTTCACATTATAAATTCAGTTCCCTAACCTATTTTCTCTGAAAAATACGCTAGATCTCATAGAACCAAGGCAGTTAACCTCACCAAAAAGGGGAGAGTAATTTGTGTGCATATTCACACCAACTAAAATCTCTCTTTTCATTTCATCTCTGTCTATTTAGTTCTAACACGTGCCATGTAGTTTGAGGAAAGATCTTGCTATAAAATGACCAACACTCTGACTGTATTAGCTAAAAGAATGAGGGCTTCCAGACCATATTTCTGGCTCTTCACCAAGCAAAACCAGACAAAGTTTTACTTCGAAGCAAATCAATCAGACAAAAAGAAGTGCGATGAAAATCTTTCCAAGGTTTCCTGTATAGATCATGAATAGCATGCAAAAACAGTTTCTTCCCTTTCTACTCTCTTCAATTTTGTTCTCATGCCTTCCTCAGTATGTAACTGCTATCTCTTGTGGTCACCAGCATTAAACAAGGTAAAGAGAAAAGACTTCTTAAATGCTACATAAAAGACTTTTCTATGTCTTAACTTGTTCATTGGGGTTGCTTTAGACTAACTTGTAAATTTTTTCTTCTATCTGTTTTTTCTTCCTGGCAAGAGCTCTTTTTTCTTCCATTAGTCCTTCTAACCCTCAACATACTTGCTTGAGTAAGTTGAAAACAAAACCATAGAGGCACGGCGTTAGGATCAAAAATTCTAAAAAATCGTCAGAAATTCTAGGCATAATATCCCCTAAGTACCCCAGTCCCTTCCGAGCCACATGGAACATAGGCAGTTTGCATTATCATCAAACATCTCAAGAGAAAGCCTGGGCTAGCAGTCAGAGGACAGGGCTAAACAGCAAGAGATTCCAGTTGTGTTACACTCTTTGGCACTGACACTGTATTCTGAGTCATCTGACCTAAATTCTAACTAAATCCATGTACCTAGTGTCTTCTGTTGTTTTGTTGTATGTCTTCAGAGGCTGTGATCCAAATAAATGCACTTTCCTATCTGCTAGTCGCACGTAAGGCTTCACAGGCATGCGGAATTCTTGATCATAAATGCTGTTAAGCTCCATGGCTGAGAAGTGTTATACGCTTACAGTGTCATTTTACTGTTCAGGAAAGGGTTTAACTTTTGAGTGTAGTTATTCTGCTAAGCCAAGTTATGATGGTGGAGTAATTTTGGCCTCTTAAATTGTGGTGATTTTTTTCAATTTTGCAATTATTTTTCCTTGGAGCCAAGTTTTCCTGTGGTGGTTATGATTATGTGACAATTTGTGTGTGTTTGTGTGTCGTTTTTTGTTGTTGTTGTTTTTAACAAGGCCTTTCTTAAGCTCTCGTCTCTTACCTCTCTTTGGGTTTCATAGAGAATTCCTCTTGTCGATAGACTTTCTTGGACTCACTCAGTTGTTCAGGCATTTCAACTGTTTAAAGAAAAACATCTGTGTAATATGAAGTGGTATTTTAAAGAAGGTTGGGATTAGAGGTTCCACTACCCTCTACTGGAGATAAGTAGAACTGTTTATTATAAATTTCTGCCCTGCTCCGTACTGTAAATGCATGGTAGAGATACAGCATTCCAACGTTGTTTTAGCTGTACTTACTTTCTAGGCAAAATAGAACCTGCCTCAAGGTAGGAACTGCTTTCTGAATGATCTATTTTCTCAGTTCAGGTGGAAAGTAATACATTATAAATACGGAGCGCACAAGAACCTTGAAATCTGCCTGTTTCTTAGTGCATGCTACTTCTTGGAAAATTTTTGGTAATGAGTGTGCTTCCTTTGCTTGTGCTGATGCTTCTGAGCTTTTTTCTATGCAAGCGCTTGGTAAAATGTGGATATTGTGTCCTAGATAACGTTATAAACATGTAGGTGGTGTCCTAAGCGAATAGTGTGGCTCAGCTGCATTGCCTTTGCACTGTGTAGTCTGCAGTTTGGGTGGTCTGCAATGCCCATGTGGGACTGGATTGTGGCCAAACATTTAGATCAGGTTTAGGCTAGGATTTCCGCCATCAGCCAGTACTTTTATGTGGATAGACTGAACTTTAATAATGCTAGTCAGATTAGGTGTGAAGTTTGGGGAAGAAACTTTTTTTTTTTCCCTCCCCTCACTTTAGATTTATGTAACATGAAGCCTCAAATCTTCCATGCAGAAGCATTCTCTGTTTGGGAACATATTACCAATTATTAAAATGATCCAAGACTGCTAGGGAGTCTATCTTTCCTTTTCCTCACTTATCTTCCATTGCCGCTTCTGGTCCTTGTTACCGTACTGTCTGAGCACCTCACAGTTCCTGTGTATTGCTTTCTTGTAAGGTGGAGAAGCATTATCCCTTTATACAGACACAGAACGGATGCAAGGCCACCTAGAAAGGCTGTGACAGAGGAGGGAACTCGAATGAACCTGAACCTAGGGGCTTTTGAAATGTTTCTCCCTTTCCAGGAGCATATGATAACCACTAGGGCAAAACCTGCCCTGGAACCACCAGTGAGTTGACACATGTCATGCAGGCAGGGAGAGAGAATAAGTAAAAAGAGGCCTGATGTTTAGGTCAACAAGAAGAGTATTCCGTAAAAAGGAAGGAGTCTTAGACCCTGTTCCTAATCTGTTCATGCATTTGATCTTATGAATCTTTATGCAAAATTCATCAACAGTCCTTGGAGCTAGGACAGGAATTGGTTTATCTGCTTGTGATGGAAATGCTGCGTATGGGCGTATTGCTGGACAACAGGAGTCACAGGCTTAAAGTCTGAGGGTGAGAAGGGTCTAGAACCCAGATTACTTACCGCTAGACTGCAACTAGCCGCCTTACTGACCAGCCTTGAGTACATGGAGCATGAGCTGGATACCCGTGTTTAGATCTTTGCATTGCTTCCTTGTTTGGTGGTACTGAGGAGTTAGTGATCTGAATCATTCTCCGAGGTCGAAGTGCCTAGTTCTGAATATCGCTTCAGGCAGCTAGAGCAGCATCTGCTGTTTTCAAGAGCTTTACAGCTATATTATTTCCAGCATAAGCCTGAGGTACATATCATTTCATTTTACAGTTGGAGAAACAAGAGGTCTGAGCAGATAAGTGGCTGGCAAAGTGTTTCACAGAGTTACTGTCAAATCCAAGATAAGTCTGATGTGATAGCTTCTGTTCCTGCTTTGGAAAAATGACATTCAACACTTAAAGTGTAATTCAGCTGTGGGCCTCTAGGTAAAAGGTTTCTATGTTATCACCCTTGTGGCTCTTAATCCTGGCTGCATATACTGCATAGCCTCTATGAAAGAGGCTCTTCTGTAGAGGCTTCTAAAAGCTGAACAGAAAATAAGCGACAAAACTTTCTTTGAGACTATTCTATTATTGACCTTTCAGTTCTTCTGTCATCTGTATTGCTTTTTCTGCTCGTTCCTTATAAAACAAAATTGCATTGCCTTTATGAGGTTGTTCTTCAGTGAGCTAAAAAAGCAGACTTGCGAACAATGAAGGAATCAAGTTTTCTTCCTCAATGCACATTTGTGCTTCCTTCTGTAGGAATGACCATGGAGGTGCTTGGGACCTTGATTGGAGCTGCACTCCAGGGACAAATTGTGGCCAGTGCTCATGTCTCTCATCACTGCACTGTAAACACAACCAGCCATTTTATCTCCCCGCATGACGCTCCCAGCTTCCCTGAGCCCTTAGACCCCCTGTCTCATCAAGTAAGTGTCCCTGGGAACACACTAAAATCCCTTGGGAAGAGGGGTTTGGAGGGAGCTGGACTGGGAAGCTGCTACTTCTTTCAGTGGCAGAGCGCTTTGATAGCCGACTAAAGTGTTTGTGAAACTGCTTGTTGGGTAACGTCCAGTGTGTACTTTAACAAGACACAGACAACTTCTCTTCTCCCTTTATAACTTCTAGTGAGCGTTAGCTCAATGCAGAAAACTAGTGGGCTGTTACAGCTGTGTAAACTGTGGGGAGGAGTAGCTAGGAGAGTTGCGGAGTAGGCTGAAGTTTGTTCCGCAGCATACTCCCTGTCTGAATCCGCTTTATGCCATAATCACCATCTTCCACTTTCAAATCTCCTAAATGTCATTCAAGGAAAAAAAATACATGATTTTGATTTACTTTCTTTATATCTAACCACATGTGTTTTCCTATCCTTTTTGAAGTAGGAGAGACTTGGAGAGAGGAGCATCACAATAAGCTGAATATCGAGTACTATTTTATTTGAAAAAAATAGCAAAGACATATATCCTAAACTAGCCAAAGTTTGTAGGTAGAAGTAGTATCTTTCATTAAACTAGCTACCAAGACTAGGGAAAAATGGACAAGCTTTTAGGTACAGAAACGTTTTTCAGATCTGTTTCTGTTTTGGACCTGAAGAACTGGCAGCGTGCCTGAAAGGTTGCCAGCTTTCTTCCAACTATATGATTGGTTTAATTAAAGATGTTACCTTATCCCAGAAATCTAGATTTGGTTATATCCTTAGAACATCATTCCTGCAACTTTAATACTATGCTAAAGTGCAATTTTGCAAACTTACTAAATCAATGGTTAAAAAGAAATGTTTCTTTGAATCTGTGTTTTATTTCTTTTGTTTTCCTCATTTTACTTCCTTATTTACATGCAGGGGCGTATTCATTTGCTGTGAGGTTTTGCTGTTCATTTGTTTTGGGTTTTTTTGTTTGTTTGTCTTCTCCTCCCGCTGCTGTGTCAGCCTCTCCTGACACATCTGTAGATGAGTAGTAAGCCATGGATGGGAACAGCCTGGATTATTGTGTCCAACTGTTGTCCCAAGGGTAAGGTTCTGTTTACCGCTTTTTTGCTACTGCCCTTTTTCCCAAAAAGCCCTCAGGCATGGGCAGAGGCCATAGTGTCAATGGACTAGTCTGGCAACCCAGCCCAGGCCCTATCACCCTGTTTTGTGAGGACCACAATTTTTCACCTTTCATGTGACCTGGCACCAGTATGGTTGTATAATGGGAGTGTGCATGGCCACTGAGTTGCATGGGGGAGCTGCTTGCATCGCAAGACAGGGCACAGGGCACTTGCCTTTCGTTCACACGACAAAGAATATGCACCTAACTGGATGACTGACAGGAGATGTTGAATCTTGGTTGTATGGCTGATGGACATAAAGTTAGAAGTCAAGGCGGGGCTAGGGTCTCTAATCCTGAAGTACCTCCATCACCCTCAGTTAAAAAAAAAAAAAGAGGAAATTAGAAGATGCCAAATCTTGATTGTTTCTCTTAAAGCTAGTTCAGGAGAATGAGCCTGACCGTTTTTGTCACAAGGAGCGATTCTTACGTTGCTGTAGGGCACACCATGTTTAAAAGTAGACCTTATGAATAGTTGCTCGTTTGCTCATTGTTAAATAAAGGAAATGGAAGAAAATGATTATTTTACATCTAATATCTCCTAAAGTTGTTTCTGTATAGAACTTTCAGCTGAAACATACAGTTTAGGAGTGGGTCTTTCCTAGCAGAAACCAAGCATGGAGATTGACATGGTTCGTAAATGGGCTAACAAATTTTGTTTAGGGTCAGAGAATCCCATCTGGCCTGTCATGAATAGCCTTAATAATTCGAGTGGACAAAGCTCAAATTACTCTTAACCAAGATCTGTGAAAGAAAGCATTTCATTCAGTTGCTTTGAGAAGAAATTTTGAAGTAGCAAATTAACTGATGAATAGGTACAAAAATTATAATTCCCAATATATTATTTAATCATCCTATGTCTTTCTACCTCTTCTGTCCTGGCTAGGCTGCTTCTGAGGCTGAAATTACCTTGTTTAAGTGAATTCAGTTACCTGCACTATACTGTAGTCTGCCATCAATGTGACCTGTAACGTGTAGTATAAATTACTCTGTGATTTAATTTATAGCTCAGACATCAAAAAAAACCGTTATCCCAAATAAAGAATAGCCCTACATTCCTTTATTTCACCATATCTCTTTCTGAAATGTAATTATCTTGCAAAAGTAGCCATCCTGAATATTGTCTAAACTTAAGTGGTTCCTATAACTAATTTTGCGTCTATACTGAGTGACCTTATATTTGACAGCTCATTCTTGTAACTGCATGCCTGTTTTCCAAATGGTTCCTAAATTTATAATCCTGTCATTTGCAGCATATTAATGAAAACTTGGAATTAAATTTTCCTATCAAATAATCAGCATGTCACAGAGCTCTATATCCAGCACTTACTTATCTTTTGTAACATGGTGTAAAATAAATTATTACAGAATACTAAATCAAAATGTAATTTTAAAGCTTACTTCATTAATAGATGCAATCAGAGTCTGAAGTAGTAAATGTGATTTGATGGTGCAGGAAGTATCCTTTGGAGGCTAATAGAAAGCAGAGGTTTCTCAATTTGCTTAAGAATTTCATTAAGCGTCTGGGAAAATAAGCATGTGACATACCATATTCTCAAAGTATTGTCCTGAAAGTAAGAGTATTTTCTAAAGTACTTTCATTAAAGCCTGAAGTAAGATTTTATTATTGTTATGCATAAATTCAACAATGGTAGTAACTATATTTACATCAGTATTGAGGCCCTTCCCGTCCAGCATGAAAATACTCATTGTATTCTGTAGGTATATTAACTGATTCAGAAAAATTTGCAACCATTCTGTGGATGCTGCATGTTTCTGATAAATGACTGTGTGTGTCTACAGCCAGTCTCAACATAAATAACCTTTTAAACATGTTCTGGTTATTGACACAGCAGTCCCTTTGTTCACAGCTTTTTTTCTTTTTCTTTTCTATTTTCTTTTCTTTTCTTTTCTTTTCTTTTCTTTTTTCTTTTGTACTAAGTATATACTTATGCGCCTTGGATTTATCCAGAAGTAGCTGTTTATAAATGAATTGCAGAAGTGAAAATTTTTCAGACAGGTAAAAGACGGACAGCTGGCTATATGAAGATGGCCAGTTCTTCAGTTACAGAAGACTCGCCAAAAAGAGACTGACATTTTCCATAATGACTTATCATTCTCCTGTCATAATTTCAATTATGTCTTTTTTTTTCTTTTCAAAGGCAAAGGTTTATATGATTGCAGCAGGGGTTATAGGAGGTGTGTATCTTCTTGGAATTGTCATTTTTTTCTTTGGAGTAAAGGAAAAAGATGGTAAGATATATTTACATATGCCTAGATTTTAATAATAATTATTTCATGTTTAGCTCTGGAAAACATTATGTTATTTTATTTATTCTGCTCCTCTTAGATCCTTATGCCTTAACTTCAGACAGAGCAATTCCTTTTTGTAAGGGGCTTGGACTCACCATGAAGCATGGTCCATATGTGAAACTTACAGCTTCATTTCTTCTCATCTCAACAGCAGTTCAGGTAACTCCAGACTCTCTAAGTCTGTTCGCTGGCCTCGTTCCAGTCCCAGCACGGGAGAGTCTGCAGCAGCTAGAATGCAAATAACCCTTAGCTTATGACTAAAGGTGATGATCTAGGGGGCAGTGCCCTCCCCTACAAGTCAGTAGGGAACCAGGACCTTTCTTTGGTGCCTGGGGTCCTGTGCAGCTGGAGATGATTCTTTAAAATGAGAAGGAAAACCAAAGTCCTGACTGTTTAAAGGTGGCTTTTTTTCATAAAAGGTGAGGAGCTGGTGGCAGTGACCCAGATTGGGTCATTACATGCTATCCATCTACCAGTCTCCTGTGGTTTCAGTTGCTCAGAGAATGCTTTTTCTCTTCTCTCTATTCTTCTCTATAGTATGTGCAGCTTCAAACTATTGCCCCTTTCCTTTGCATAGGTGACTGCTGAACTGGTTCTCACGGAGTATTTTGTGATGGAAGGCATTAGGTCGGAGTAAAAAGATGTTCAGACTCAGAAGCAGGAAGTCTTAACTGTCTCAGAGCTAGGTAGAGCTAATTTTCAAATCAGGACCTACAGCTGAATGTGGCCTTCCCAAAATGATGTTGTATGTCATCCCATAGAGAGAGGCTGCAGAAAAACTTAAAAGTCCAGTAGTCATTTTAAAGCAGAATTTTTGAGTTACGTTCAACTCATTAAAAATGTGTTCATAATGTGAACCTTTCCCTATGTAACTATCAGTTGAAGTTGGCTTTGTTTTGAAAAGCACATAATATCCATGTTTTTATCACCAGATTGTTAGTCACAAAAACTATTGATCACAATGAGCACTGGAATAGAGGGCAAGAACTGCGCATGTCAGAGATCAGTGCTGTGTTCACCAGCGATTCTGGTGGATTAGAAATTTCCAAGGAAGAATTGCCATCCCCTTCCAGTCACGCAGTTATGCTTATAGCAACGACTTTTGTCTGTTTGCCAAAGAAGCATCAGAGTTTCCCGTTGGCCTGAATCTGGGCACAGTTAGTAAAGCCATCCTTTATTGCATCTGTCAATCCTTGCTGGAAGGCCCAAGCATGAGAAACAATAGCAGAAGTATTTCTGCTCACATCTGGGAGTTGCAGGCGCTTTCAGTAACAGTAGAGACATGAAAAAGATGAAAGCGGATCCCTTGTAGTCCAAGCCGTTCCAACACCCATGTAGTCAGTAAGGGTATGGCGCACACATGGTGTGCAGGCAGCTACTACTGACAACACCTGGACAGGAAGAGATGTTCTCTTAGTCTAAATCTCTTTATTTTTTTCTTTTTACTAAAAGGCTGAAGGGAAGCTGTGAGGGGAGGCAGAAGCTGGAAATACTGTGGCTCCAGTTCAGCTAAAATGTTCAACCCTTGCTGTTATCATTTGGGAAGGGGGGACAGACACGGTGGGTTTTGGTGAGTGGACTGCTGATGAGAAAAGAAATAGGCAGGTAAAGATGCATTGCCCATAATCCTGGAGAATGATGGTCTATATATGAAATAAAGGCAGAGTAAACTGGACCAGAAGTTAGGGAAGGCTCTGGTGGTGACAGAAGAGGGATGCATTTTTTGGCCTTATTTGTATACAGATGATGGCTGCTTATAATCTGCAAGCCCACAAAGGAACAAGAGTTGGTCATGCTGCTGTGGCATAAGTGTTAAATCCTTCTCTATCATTCCATTTCTTCAGAGTTGCCAGAGTTGGGCTTGAACCAGAATCTGATGTTGAGAAATCCCCCTGAGTTCTACCAAGCATGGATGCTTGTTCCGTGGCCTGATCTCTCACTATAAAAGAAATGGGCCAGCTCCTCCCATCAACTGAGTACTCGGACTTGTGGAGAATTCTGGCCCAAAGCTGCACTCCACAGCCAAGGTTTTGCACAAAACTAGCATTTAGCCGCTTTACTACAGGAAGTTGGCATGAGAGGTAATTCCAGCTGAAGAGTAACTTGTTTTGGAATCAGAGCTTCTAGTAAAAGATTTATGGCATTATTGTGGAAAAACAAGAGCAATTTCTTACAATAGACTGCAGCTGTGACTGTAACAATGACACAAGGCAAGCTGCAACATAGGATAGAGAGCCTCGAGACAGAATGCTTTCAGAAGCCAGCTCCTGTTTTCATCATTATGCCTCATTAGGACTATGATTTTCCTCTTGCTTACCCCAATTTTAACCTGCACATTACTCCAATGATAGCAGGAGAGTTTTTGCATCTTTAGATTGTTGCAGATGAGGGAAGAATGGAACTCCCAAATCCTGCATTTAACTAATTGATCACCAAGCATGTTTGACCAGTATGGAGTGTAATGTTCTTTTTTTCTTTTGCCCTTTTTCTTCTTCCCTTCCTTCTTTTGCCCCCCTCTTTTTTTTTTTTTTTTTTGGTGTGGTCATTCCACAATGTCTTCAATTCACCAGCTGGAGCAGAGCAACTTCGTCCTGTTCTGCACGCACGCAGCTAATCTCCGCAATCACTTCCAGTATTTGGTGGTTACCATTTTGGTGAGTTGCCTCTCTCCTCTCCCATATTTTTATTTGATAGCTGAATTTCACTGTGCTTTTTGGCACAAATTTAGCAGAAGACAAGAAGAATTTTGTGTCTAGGCAGAGTTGTAAGATGCTGCACCATCTTTTGCATTGTCTATTTGAAATAAATGTGGTGCTCCCTACTGTAACTTTTAAAGAATTAATGCTTTGGAGCTTTTAATTCATTCCTTGTTACTTTCACCCATGAGTCACTTTCTGCTCCTATGAAAGGCAAAAGTTGCTGTCAGAAAGAAGGTCTGGAGTTTTGGTTCCTGTTTCCTGGTTTGGTATGCTGAAAATTAAATAACTTTCCCTTCTGCATCCATACACATGAGCTTTCTGGGCCAGGCAGTTTGCAAGGATAAATATGTAAAATAACCAGAGACATGAAGATTCCTGTCTAGAAGGAGTGGCAGCATGATAAAAAGGCATCTTCACAAAACCCTTTTTCTTGACACTCGAAGGTGGGATTCTGCTCTCTCTAGGTGATACTTACAACTCAGTTATACACTGCTCCTGTAATGCATGCTTTGCTTTGTTAGTAGAAAACTGCAGTTTTCAGGCTTCTGATCAAAGTCATTTTAGAGTAAGTGGAAAGTTTAGTGTTGCATAACTACTGGGAGGTGTATCTGATGCATATTTTAATGGTTTGTGGAGATTTTGTCTAGCATATAGAATATTGCAGCAGTCACTGAATGCCTTCTTTGCTTCGGTCTTCACTGCTAAAGGCCAGTCCTCAGGAATTCCAGACCCTGGGGACAATAGAGAAAGTCTGGAGAAAGGAAGACTCTCCCTTGATCAAGGAACATCAGGTTACAGATCATTTCTCCGGACTTGACATCCATGAATCCATGGGCCCCGATGGATTGCACCCATGAGTGCTGAGGGAGCTGGCGGATGTTATCGCTAGGCCACTCTCCATCGTCTTGGAAAGGTCCTGGAGATCAGGAGAGGTGCCTGAGGACTGGAAGAAAGCCAATGTCACGCCAGTCTTCCAAAAGGGCAAGAAGGAGGAGCCAGGAAACTACAGCCTCCCCTCCATCCCAGGAAAGGTGATGGAACAGCTCCTCCTGGAGGTCATCACTAAGCATCTGGAGGACCAGAAGGTGATCCGGAGTAGTCAGCATGGATTCACCAAAGGGAAATCATGCTTGACCAATCTGATAACCTTCTCTGATGGCTGGGTAGATGAGGGCAGAGCAGTGGATGTTGTCTCCCTGGACTTCAGCAAGGCTTTTGACACTGTCTCCCATCACATCCTCCTAGGCAA